TATGTCAAGCACATTTGTACATTCATTACCCTCATCATTCTCAAAACATTTATTCTCCACTTAAGTCCTTGGCATCAGCTCATTTTCACCCCCTTTGTGAACCCTTGATAATTTATAAATTATTATTTTGTCCTATCTTACACTGTCTGATGTCTTCCTTCACCCACTTTTCTGTTGTCGGTCCCCCAGGGAGGAGGTTATATGTAGATCATTGTAATTGGTTCCCCCTTTTCACCTACCCTCCCTCCATCGCCATTCTCACCACTGGTCTTGAAAGGATCATCTGCCCTGGATTCCCTGTGTTTCCAGTTGCTATCTGTACCAGTTTCCATCCTCTGGTCTAGCCAGATTTGTAAGGTAGAATTGGGATCATGATAGTGGGGGTGGGGTAGGGGAGGAAGCATTTAGAAACAGAGGAAAGTTATATGTTTCATCATTGCTACCTGCACCCTGACTGGCTCATCTCCTTCCCGCGACCCTCCGTAAGGGGATGTCCAATTGCCTACCGAGGGCTTTGGGTCTCCACTCCACACTCCCCCTCTTTCACAATGCTATGATTTTTTGTTCAAGGTATTAACTTTTAACCTAATATGTTGTTAGGTGCCATCAAGTTGGTTTGACCCATAGGAACCCTGTGTACAACAGAATGAACACTGCCTGGTCCTGGGCCATGCTCGCTACTGTTCCCATGCCCGAGCCCATTGCTGCAGCCACGGTGTTCGTCCATCTGATTTAAGGCCTTTCTCCTTTTGGTTGTTCCTCCACTTTACCAAACATGCTGTCCTTCTCCAGGGACTGGTCTCTCCTACAACATGTCAAGACAAAGCCTTGCCATCCTTGCTTCTAAGGAGCACTCTGACCTTACTTCTTCCCAGATGGATTTGTCTGTCCTATTGGCAGTCCCTGGTGTTTGCAGTATTCTTCTCCAGCCTCACACTTCAAATGCACCCGTTCTTTCGGTCTCCTTTATTCAATATTCAACTTCCACATGCATATGAGGCCATGGAGAAGACCGTGGCTGGGGTCAGGCGTACCTTCAATACTTTCAAAGTAACCACCTTGCTCTTCAATACTCTAACGAGATCTTGTGCAGCAGATTTAGCTAATGCAACACTTCTTTGGATCTTTTCACCGTCGCTTCCGTGAGCACTGATTGTGGGTCCAAGACAACTCCTTGACAACTTCATCCTTTTCTCCATTTATTATGCCTATTGGTACTGTTGTGAAGATTTTGGTCTTCTTTAATATATTAAGTATGATAAGTTTAGCTGTCGATTACTGAAATGTGGTATTTCTTAGATGATATGAATATTAGCAAATTGCGTTTTAAACTCTTTCTGCAGAGGTACAGTGTTAGTTATCGAGCAGAGACCTTTTCATTTTTAGCTTTCTTTTCTTTAAATGGACTTTATTCTCAAGAAAGTTATTTAGGTTCACATTTACTAAGGTTCA